CTGTCGTCCTCGCAGGTATAAGCTGCGTATACATTGCCCCTAAGAGTTAGAACTCCCTTCTCGGTAGGCATCTTCAGCACCAGATACCTGTAATGAGGTATGGCCATGAACTTGGTGAGCGATGGTCGACCCAGGATAGCATGGTAGGTACCGTCGAAGTCAGCGACCATGAAGTTGACGTAGTCGGTGCGGAAGTGGTCTGGGGTCCCAAACTACACAGGTAACGTGATCTGCCTGAGAGGTGTAGAGCTCTATCCGGGGAGAACACCCCAGAACTGTGCCTCATATGGCTTGAGATCCGCCTGGGTTATCTTTAGGGGCGGTAGACTGTTCTTGAATAGTATATCGATGGAGCTGCCGCCATCAATCAGCACTCTATCAAATTGAACTTTATTGATACAAGGATCAAGGACCAGGGGAAAATGTCCTGGCTCGGGTATTGCGGCCCATTGGTATTTTTTGTTGAAGGAGATCTCGCGGTGAGACCAAGGAGGGAGCCATGGATCGGCGATAAGGTTGTCGATGTTGGCCACGTTCAAGCAAGCACGGGCAAGCAGCTTGCGTTCTCGCTTAGTCTCGATGGACACTTTGCCTCCAATGATGGTGTGCACGCGATCGGTTGGCTTGACATACTTGTGATGGGGATCTGCGTCATCATCGTCGTTGTCCTTGTTATGCTGTTCCCCTGCATCGTTAGGCTTGTCGGACATATCCGGAGCCTGTTGACGCGTGCAGATAGACTTGAGAACGCAGCAGTTCTCCATGGTGTGGTTTGACTTGGGATGGAGCTGGCAGGGCCCCTTCAATGCTTTGGCGTAATCTTCTTCGTAGTTACGATGTCTGCCCCCTTTATTGACGGTGTTGACTTCGCCATCGTCTCCCCGAGCACGCTTGCCTCTGTAATCATCACGGCGGTTACGTCGCTGATTACATTGGTCGCGGTGGTCGCGGGAGTTGTTGCGCTGGTTGCGGCAGTCAAAATTGTCGCTCCGACCATGGTTGCCGTGGTAGTCATCGCGGTGTGGGGGGTGGTCGGAGCGCAGAACCCTTGCTACTTCTTCGATAATTATCTTTTTAGCGTCGTCGGCATCGGCATATTTCTTAGCGGTGGCCAGGAGCGCTGTGACCGACTCAGGCCTCTTGCGAAGGAGCTTGTCCCTTAGAGCGTCGTGGAAGCGAAGGCCAGTGATGAAAGCCTCGATTGCCTCACTGTCGGAGATTGACGGGACCTTGATGCGCATCTCCGAGAAACGCCGGACGTACTCGCGCAGCGGCTCATCTTTCCGATCTTGAATCCGCCATAGATCATATTTGTTGCCGGGTTGCTCGCAAGTGGCAATGAAGTTGTCGATGAAAGCTTGCTTGAGTTCTTGCCAAGAATCGAAGTAGTTTGCCGACAAGCTGACCAGCCACTGGTGACCTGCATGACCAACAGCTACTGGAAAGTAGTTAGACATGACGTGCTCGTCAGCCATGGCTGATCTGCACACAGTTTCGTAGAGCATGACCCATAATTCGGGGTTCTCCTTGCCGTCATACTTCTGAAGTTTTTGGAGCTTGAAGTTCTTGGGCCATATGACTTGGCGAAGGTGCGGAGTAAACTGCTTCAAACCCGGCGGGCCGTGGGCAGTATCATATTCCATACGGCGATAGCTTTCGTGGGATGCACGATCGTTGGCTCTCTAGTTGATGCAATCACGCAGATCATGTCCTCCGAGGTAGTGGCGGAGATCATTATTGCCATCGCGGCGATCTCGGTTGCCATCCAGATTAGTCCTGCGACCGTGGTTGTCGCGGCGGTTGTCGTCTCGGACGTTGCAGCGATTGTCCTGTCGACGGCGGTTATCATCTCGACCGCCATCATGGCCACCGTTTTCGCCTTGACGGTTGTCTGATGGGTCGTTGTTGCGTGAGCCACGTAGGTTGGGTGGCTTTGAGCGGCTTGAGTACTGGCGGCTGTGGCTTGACTCGACTGAGACGGAGGGAGCCCGGGCTTGATTTACAATCTCTGCGGTCTAGGCCATAGCAGCCGTCAGATAGGCTTGTATTTCATCGCGAACTGCCTGAGTTTCTGGGGTATTGGGTAGCCATTGCATTGTCGCCATAGCGACGGCTACGTTGGCGCTTGGAGTCCTGAAGACCTGTTTGTCCCCCACCCTGTCGAAAGCATTGTTGAGGTCACGTGGCTGGACCCTTATGCGTCGTGCCTCCTCTTCTGCTTCAGCTTCGATTTGTCGGCGATTAAACCGGTCAATATTACGTGCTTCGCGTGCAATCCTTTCTTGTTCTGTTTCACCGACTGCTGGTGGTTCATCATTACTGACAACATTGATCAAATCCCCTCGTCTTGGTGGGAAGGACGGGAATTGTGGGAACCCCGGGGCATGGTCTAGTATATCCAGATCGTATTCGACGCCTTCATCATCGTGATGCTGGAGCTCAGTGTGGTCGGAGGCATTGGATGTGATGCCAGACGAGGAGCTGGAGTCACCTTCTTGGACTGTGTGGACGGATCCTTCTTGATAATCCTCAATCCGGACCATGTTGACAAAATTTCGCGGCTTCGACTGAGGTCGACACAGATCCAAGCGGTGTTGTATATTATACGTGTAGTTGGAGGCAGCGTTTCACAGGCCATAGGGCTAGGCCTGGTAGTTCTCCGTCAAGGCTTCGTACTCGGAGAGCTGGAGACCCATCGCGGAGGCTGGCCGGCGACGAGCGGAGCGCCCTTCAGGAGTAGATATGACCACGAGATCTGTACCAAGTCGTGCAGGATGACTGGCCCGAGCCGGTTGGGTAGATCTATTGTGGGAAGCGGTTACCTGCTCATTAGGTCCACTTTGAATTGAACTTACCAGAGCTAGGGTTTCAGCGAGCTTGGTGCCGACCCGATCGATGGAGTCAAACAGGTCGGTGTTGTCGATCTGCCTCCCTTTGTAGCGGGGAAGCGAACGATGGATTGCCGGCGTGGCTGAAAGCGATGTGGGCGTGGTCGGAGCCAGATCCACCGTGGTCAGAGCCAGATCCTTTGTGGTCAGAGCCGTATCCACCGTGGTCAGAGCCATAGCCGATGCAGGTGAAGCAGCGGTCGACGCAGATGGAATCCGCGCCTCCTCCGTGATCATGGTGATGAAGTCGTCGGAGCCGATGGTCTAGGTGATCTGACCGATGGTGAACGTGAGGCCGTTCGGCGTAGCCATGAAGCCGGGGACGATGACCATCTTGTTCACTTGGAGAGCAGTATGCACACCCCCTACCTGGCGCGCCACTGTCGATGAAATATGGTCGGCAGTCTACCCAGGGGTATGCCCAAGGTTGTAGATTGTCGGCAGACAGATGCGCAAGCCACAAACAAGATGGTGACGCAAGACACACGAGGTTTTATCCAGGTTCAGCCGCCAAGAAGGCGTAATACCTACGTCCTGCGTCTGATTGTATTGTTGTATGTCAATGAGAGATGTTTTTAGAGGGGTCCCCTGCCCGCCTTATATAGTCCGAGGAGCAGGGTTACAGATCTGGAAACTAATCCTAGTCAGTTACAATTGCCATAGGTGACCGGATAAGGATTCCTATTCTAACCGATCGAGATCTTGTTTGATCGTCAAATCTGTCTTGACTCCTTGCGCGGGACTCCAAACAGGTTGGCCGGGTCGCACGTCGTCTTTTGGTGGACCAGACCCACTGATCCGGGCCGGCCCAAATGTTAGCCGTAAGGGTATAGGGGTTAATACCCCCATATACTGCCCCACTTTGCTTCCTACAATTCCAAAATGAAGGGATTCACTCAGTGGTTTGTTGTGATAACTGATAAGGGTTGCCATCTGCGGTTTTTATCATGGTTGGTGTCTTGCGATAGCCTGTGCAGAGCACCATCAATTGTGATGGCATTGCTTGATCAGGCATATATTAGTGCCTAAAAGATTAGTGGTATACACTATTCTCTTCAAAGTTTAGGTTTTTGAATTTCATATTTGAGGGACCATTTTATTGTGTCTTTTGGATAGATTGCAATGGGCGTCATCATCACATGCCATCTATTGATTTGAGACTTTGGGTGCAGATAAATTGCATCATTTTTTTCATGATATATTTCAGTTTTCATACTTCTCATTGATGTTTCAATATAAAACTACTCTAAACTACTATATTTGTCTTCTATGGGACATACAGTAGACTTAAAGCGATATAGCATTCTTTGTTTAGCCCCCCTTATATTTTTCCTGGATCCATCACTGGTGATACCCGATAATAGATAGAACTTTTTTTCATATCATATCTCATGTTATTTGGTACTTTTTGTTGTTTAGCATGATGATTTGGAGACGATCCTAATCTGAGTTTACATTATGCAATACCTCTTTGCATGGTAAAACTATAGCAGTCCGACAATTGCAGAAACTGAAACCAGATGCTACTTGTTCTCAATCAAAACAGAAAATAGATGCTATTCCTATCTCTATTTTTTTTTCTAAAATGTGCTCTTCTTGCCAATCTAGATCAGTTCTCTGCTGTTGGACTCATAATGTGATGCTTAGTTGTGATTCCTTTAGATCCCTTACATTGTGTGCCTTACGGATCATACACAGTGAAGTACAGTAACTTTCATTTTTTTTATGCAGAAAGTTGCAAAGATTTTTGGTAAGGAGAAGAAGAAAGAACTAGCCACAACTGGTAAGGAGAAGAAGAAAGAACTAGCCACAACAGAGAGCTTCACCTGTGAGAACTGAACTTTAACTCTTGACACAGTCATTCTGGGATCTAATTTTTTCCCCATGTGGCATACGCATTCAGAACTGAACTTTAGCCCAATTCATGTCAGTTGTCATGGAGATACTGCATTCAGAACTGCGTTTTGGCTGCCAAGTCACATCATTTAATGGTAGCCTTATAGACTCAACATAAACTGAAGAAGGCCTTCTCTTTGGTGGCACTGGTGGTTTTGTCTTGTTACTAAACGGTATGTGTTTATTTAAGCCTATCCTATGCTGGCTAGACGTTGTTCACTTCATAAACCTTGGTAACCTGGAAGAAACATCTCTCTGATTCTTTGAATTCCTTGTATTTTTTGACATGTCAATTTTCAGCTCTTCACTGGATGGATGTGAAATGTCGAAATTTGTTTCATCAGATGGTTGAGGCCCTTTAAAATGCTCAATTGTTTCCTTGAGCTTCTTAATCTTTCTAATAATACCTTCACATTCTTGTTCTAGATCACTGGTCTCCTGTTCTAATTCCATTAACAAATGTTCCTTTCTTGCTTTTACTTCCCTGTATGTACAAGATCAAAACATTAGTTTTTTGCAGCAAAGATTGTGTGGAACCACATCCTTTACTCATCTGTGTTCATGGAGACATGGACACAGATTGTTATTACAATTTCTGGGACATCGAACATTTTTTGCTAGTTCAACATACTCTCATCTGGTTATTATCACTTGTCTTTGAAAATCAAAGCAGCCTGACATTGGCTTTTTATCTACTTTAATGTTTAGCTGGTCTCTTCCTTTTCTTTTCTTGACTATATACAAACTAGCGTCACTGCAAATGCTTACTTGTGGTTCTTCATTTTCCAGGCGAATACTTCTGACTCTTGTTGCAAAACCCAAGGTACAGATGGTCTCACACAAATCATTCTCATTTGGACGGATATGAACAAGCATCAGAGTTTTGGACTCACATCCTGTCAACACGAATACACCAAGGTGAGCTACAAGAAAACTGAGTTTGTAAAATAAGAAAGCAGCAATTTTCTACATTTCTAGAACTGTTAGTGAGGTGCTACTTACCTATAGAATCTCTAAGAACTTGTGTGAGCTCGCTATTCCTGAGAATTAAGAAGTTGAACGTGTATCATTGTCTCGAAAGTAAAAATCATTGTGATAACCGCCAAACACCAAAGATATTTGGGATTTTATTTACCTATAAGGGATGTGTGATTTTTTGGTCTTTAGTGCATCTATCACATCCCCTAGGGTCGATGAAGTGATTTATGGATTTTCCTTCCTTGAGTCTTTTCCCAGCTTGCCTTTGTCTTTACAAGCCTTTCACTTCCACCTAGATCAATCATCCATAATTTGTTTCTTGCCCTTTTCTCTCTCTGCGTCCAAATGAGGTCAATGCAATACTTAATCAAATCTGCTGCACATATAACGAAGAGTATAAGGCTTTACTATAGAAATTCTTCCATGGTATTTTCAATAAAGCGCCTACTTTTATCCAAGCATAATAAGGTTTCATAAGCATGCACTTTTGATTCGTGGTCTGTTTTCATCGATGCGACCATGGTTGATGCCTTTTCAATTGTTATAGTAAGGATTTTCTTCATAAAGTAAACAAGATTATCGGTGAGATCCGATCGATGTAGAATTAGCCATAGTGGAAGTCATTGATCTAAAGCGGGTCCCCACTTCATATAGTCTTTTCACTTCTTGAAAACTATTGACAATAATTGCCACTAGGTTTTCAATCTTGATGCCACCATCGATCTCTGCTTTTGATGGAAAGGTCAGATACGAGAATAATTGTTTACTTCCAACAAATGAAAAGGTGATAAGTGTTCACATATGTATGTCGCTTAGTTAACTTGCATCAACAAAATTGTAGAAGAACCACCTATGCGAATTCCAATTCATGTCTTGACTCTTGGACAGATTCTTTGGATTGTCACACTACCCCCAATTTAGATCCTTTTATTATGTCTAAATATTCACACTTTATTTTTTTGGCATACCGACATGTTGCCTATGCGTTAATGCAACATTTTAATGGCCTGTTCATTTTCTTGGTTGTGGAGGACCGCTAGGTAGCCTTGGAACACAAGTGCACTATAGTAGCATTGTTATATATTTTTAGTTTTCCGTAACTATCAACATTGACCGAATAATATTTACATTATTTTTCCATCTCAGTCCCGTAGATCATCAACAAGATTTCATTACTTGTTTTGCAACAAGGTAGCCCTTCTAGCATTTTAAGAGAAAGTGCTAATTTATCTTGGTACTTTCTTAAAACCTTGTGTCTTGCTTCCTGAACTAGCGGTCTCTCAAATTTCCCATATATATCTCGAGCATCTTTGAAAGTGAATGAAACCTTCATTGCTCTCTCTCAAGTTCGATCAAACAAAGGCTTGAATCGCACGTGGTATGACACCTAGATCTGTAGGCTTGCCTTCCTGATTCAAGTGGTAATGGATTGTAAAATCAAAATATTAAATTTATGTTGGTTTGGATTTGTTTGGACTTTTTATTTTTTCATCTATTCTTCATGAATGAGATCAGGAGTTGGAATGAGTAGAGCTTACCATGGTATAAGTTTTCCCACTACCTGTCTGACCATAGGCAAATATGCAAACATTATAGCCATCTAAAGCTGATTTTATCACTGGTTCAACTTCAAAGAAATACATCACCGAAAACCACACTATTGTAATCTGACTAGCATTCAAATTATTCACTTCAACATCACAGTTCCTATAAATGCAAATCTATTATACCTTGTGTTGAGCATTGGTTGAAAACCTTGTCAAACTTGTATTGCTTTATCTTGGTTTCAGCAACTTTTAGGAATACATTATTCTCATCCAGGGTGAACAGAGTTCTAGATTGATAATCCTCTTCATGGTGAAAAGGCCTTACACGACAGAACACCCATATATTTCCTGGAAAATGAATGCATGTGAATTAACAGGACTCTAACAACTTCCATTGCATTTAGTGACATTTATATTTATCAAGCCAAACACAAAAAATCGAGGAGAAAGTTCAACCTTTGAGATCCAAATAGTTATTCGGTGACTGCCTCTTCTGCAGTGTTATCTGCTTTAGTTTAGCATTCAGCAAAACCAATTCCTTTGTCATTACCAAACACATTTTATTTCCTTGCAGTAGCACCAGCAATATATGTTCTGTAGATCATCAGCAGGTTGACAACAGTAGAGCTCTCAGGTTTGCACTAATCTTGTGCACATGCATTTAGAGTTGTGGGTGGTTCTTCGATTTCTTGTGACAAACACATTTTATTTCCTTGCAGTAGCACCAGCATTATCTATTCTATAGATCATCAGCAGGTTGGCACAGCAGGTTGACAACAGCAGAGCTCCCAAGTTTGCACTCCTCTTGTGCACTTGCATCTAGAGTTGCAGGTGTGCGTTTAGTTTATTATGGGCAATGTCTTTTTTGTACTACAGTGATTCAACCATTGCATTGCTTTGAATATTGTTCTTTTGTCTTGGGTGATATGCAGTGGCAAGCATGAGCTTTGGTTTAACCATTGTTCTTTTGTCAAATATTTGAGTTGCAGTTATTTGTGTTAGAACAAGCTTAATTGGTTAACAATATATTTTTATGTGTTCGCTAGCTGCAGGGTGCATGGTAGTTGTCGGTCTGACAAGTTATTTGTATTTATTCTCAAAGAACTTCTAGGCACCTCTCTATTGCTTTTATTTGAATCTATGCTTGGTAATTAGTGGTTTGGTTAGGCTTCTAGCAAATGATATTTTCAGTGAGTTATCTTGCTTGTGTTTAGTACTTCTCAATTAGCTCTCGGTTTAATAATTCTCATATTAATTAGAGCTTTGTGAACTTTGAAAAATTCCTAATTACTCCTAGGGTTTGATAATAACATTTCATTGATTAATTTTGTTCCCTATAATTTTTTCAGAGTATAGATATATACAAGATGAGAGTATTGTCCTTAATTTTGTTCCCTATAAGTTTCAGTATTCATGAGCGTGAAAGTCGCCAAATGAGCCATGCCAATTCTGATGGTTCCTTCTCGCTATCTCCCTCCCTCACACGGTTTCTCTCCACCACCACCAGGTTATTCAAAGAAGATGACTATCAAGCACGCTTCTCACTTGGCGATGCCGATATGAGCTCCACACACTATTTCACGTCCGACAAAAACGCTTAAATGAATCTGAAGACTCCAGTCCAGCTATACCATAGTTTCTTCACCCATTTGCACTTGAAAAATAAATGAGCTCCATCCTCATCTAATCTGTTGCATATGCAGCAGCAAGTATCCAACTCCATGCCTCTCCTTTTCAGATTGCATTTGAGAGCCAGGGAATGTATGCAAACCGCCACATGTGCACACCACTTTTTTTCAAAAGTCAAAGCACTTCCTGAATACATTTCTAAGTAGTAAAACATGAACCCAAATATTCAGATATAGCCACGATACTAAATTTATGGTCTTTTCTTTGATTCTTTATTTCCCCTACAACCACCTAACTTGCACTGCTTTTCACTTGTCCATATTGAATTGGGCACATTATTTCAATGGCACAGTATTGCTAAAAGTGACAGGTAGTGTTGATGGACACGCCAAGGCCAACCGATGATCGGGGACCTTTGGGGGACCTTACAAATACAACACATGAAGGTATATAAACTTTTACAGCCTCCCTACATATTCTATGTTTATATGTTTTCAACTCCTGACCAAACTTTATTAAAGGGAATCATACCCAATCGGGGTTGGTGCCACTAGATAGGGATCGTAATGAGCAAAAGAGGCAGAGGGAGAGAGAACGGTATGCAACAATGTCTGATGAAAAGGGGAGTGAAAGAGACAAGAAACCCCGTCAGAGGTATAAGATGAGTAACCAAGAGAATGTTGATCTTGAAAACAATATGGCTGCCCATTCAACAGGTATGGTGGTATTGCTAAGTGTTATTTTAATTGCCATACGCGTTATAATTAATAACAATTACTATATTTAAACTTGCAGATGCGAATACACATAATGAAACAGACAAAAATAGTGACTGGCTCCATAGGCAGTCAACCTATAGTAATGGCTTACAACAATTATTAGGTTACTTATTCTGCTAATAAAAGTATTTATTGGTGCGGCGCCTGAAATTATCGTGTCGTCATAGTTTGCTTATCGTATGGTTCGATTTTAATTATATGGTTATATTTGTAGACAGTACGGAACCTTTCAGTACTATTCGTGAAATGGGTACACTTTTATATCCTTTGCTTGATATTCTTGTGAATCGTGCCTGTGTTAGTTTCTTACGGGTGTGCTTAGACACCGTCCTAGCGTGCGTTGATTAAGATGTCATTCCATGATATATAGGTTCTTGATATGCACCCAGTCCCATCAACCGGCTTGTCACGTGTCCAAAAGAGTGTAAGCATGATCATGATAGAGCAAGAAAAGCTACAATGTCTCTTGAAGAAAGGGCGTTACTGAATAAGAGACGACGTGAATTGTATGCACAAAAAAGGCATCAAAAAAGTCTGCAAAGATGCTACAAATGACTCCAAAGGAGACTTGCCAATCAACAGGTATAGCAAACCTATTGATTTCTTTACGATAAAAAATTCTGTGGTGCCATAGGATACTTATTATATCAATAAAATTTTAGACGGTCCTATCCCTTTAAGCATCGGAGGAAACGAGGAATCACCCCCTCTTGGTGATATTGACAACAGTTTAACTGGGACGGATATCAACACTGTTCATGAAACGGGTACGCCTTTATAGAATCATGGCTTTATTTTTAACTACTAAAGGAGTTTGAACACCATTGTACCTGACACTGTTGTGTAAAGTTTATTATCACACAATTTGAATTATTGTGTGTCCTTCATCGATGAGACATTGAGACCGTACTTTTTCTTATT